ATCGATAAAACAAAATTAAGTGTAGTGCCCATGATGAGTGGCGCAGCACCATTGCTTGGTCATGGGATACAGTTCTTTAGGGATCCCAATGGGACAATGATGAGGGGGCTAAAGGAGCATGGACAAGCTTTTGCCATGAGTGTTTTTGGTAAAAAAGTTGTCGTGTTATCGGGTCCTGAAAAAGCAAAATTTTATTTTAATAATACGGACAAACTTTTATCGATTAGAGAGGCAATGCCTTTTTTTATTGATATGTTTAGTAAGGATTTTTACATTTTTGCTGAATACGACTCGTATCTAAGGCAAAAATCGATTGTTATGCCTAGGTTTCAAGGAAAAGCACTAGAATCTTACGTTGACATTATGTCATTTGAAACTGATCGCATGATGGAAGAAAAGCTCGGCGATGAAGGGGTTTTTGAGTGCATACCGGTCATAGGACCATTGGTGATGAACATTGCAGCACACTCATTTTTGGGAAAAGATTTTCGAGGAAAGTTGGGTGATCAGTTTTTTGACGAGTTTCGCGAATTTTCAGCAGGGATGGATCCTGTCACACCTACCGTTTTATTCAGATTGACATCGCGTTGGCGTCGTAGCCAAAAGTCAAAAAAAATGTTGCATCAAGTGATTGGCAAGTTGATCGAAGAGCGTCGGGCTCATCCACATCAGGAAGCTGATTTTCTGCAACAATTAGCTGATGCCAAATATCCAGACGGAACGCAAGTGCCACTTGAGATCGCCGTCAATTTAATTTTATTGTTGGTTTGGGCAGGACATGAAACGACAGCCGGCCATACGAGTTGGGCCTTTGTTGATATTTTGCGTCATCCGGAGATTATTCCTAAATTGCGTGAAGAACAAGACAAGTTTTGGCCAAAAGGTGAAAAGTTAACGTTTGAGCATTGTCGAAACTTTGATTTATGTGATTGGGCGTTGCGAGAATCAGAAAGAATTCATCCTGTTGCGCCTAACTTAATGCGCATGGCGAGTGAGGATTTAGAAGTTGACGGTTTTGCGATTGAAAAAGGAACGCCCGTCTTGATTTTTACGACAGGTACACATCGAATGCCTTATGTATTTTCAAATCCAGAACAATGGGATCCATACCGCTATTCTCCAGAGCGTAATGAAACCAAAGGTTACCAGAATATCTTGATTGGATTTGGTGGCGGGACTCACCGCTGTGCAGGGGTTAACTTTGCCTATCTCGAAATGAAGGCCATTGTTTCAACGATGATTCGTTATTATGATCTTGAGTTGATAGATAAAGATGTTCAAGAAGCGCCAGGTACTGTGACCAAATGGCCTGGCACTCCTTGCCGCATTCGCTATACCCGCAGGAAAGATATTTAACCTGACTTGAGTTAAGGACACGCAGATTCATTCCAATTGTGGGCATCTGATTGCAAATCGATGGGTCGACACCATTGATTATGGTTGTTGCCACGCTGAATAACCTGTTGGGGTTGATTGAAGATGTTGTAGTCGGGTAGTCTTGCCATGTTGTTGAAGTATGTCATGATAAAAATACTTAAAATCATGCACTTCCACAAAATTCAATGGGGTCTGACCCAATAGTGTTCAGTTAAGGCCTTAGATTTATAAAATCAATAAGTTACAGATCTGCAGCTGTTTTGTTAACTTATTGATAAATCGCCGCAATAATTTTTTATGTTGGCTGTAAAATCGCTAAATCAATACGACATCTAACCTATCGATATTTTACAATTTAAATCTTAAATGAACACTATTGGATCAGGATCTGTCATCATGATGCGCTCCGTTCATGTAGGTTATGGCCTGATAACAATGGGGGTACCAATGTTAACAGACTGATACAGCGTATCCATTTCTTCATTAGTTAGGGCCACACAACCCCATGTCCAGTCATATAGTGTATGTGCTTTACCAATATAACCCTGACCGTTAGGTAGACCATGAATTTTGATTGCCCCACCTGGCGATTTGCCTAGCTTGGCAGCCTTTTGGCGGTCATCATCATTGGGGTAAGAAATCCCTAAGTTTTTGTAATAGCCACTGTTTGGGTTTTTCCCTATGATGGTATAACGCCCCTCCGGTGTTTTTCGGTCGCCTTCGATTTGTTTGCGCCCTTTCTTTTGCCCCAGTGAAACCGTATATGTCTTAATGAGTTTTTTATGATCAAATAAATACATTTTGTGGTCTGACTTGTCCACCACGATAGCGGTGACGTTTAGAACTCCTGGTTTTTCATTTTTGTGTATAGCGTGGTGGACTTTGCCAGCGAAGGCACTGGTAAGTAGAATTGCACCAACTGCGATGATCATGCCTCGTGTTTTGAAGCGAAGTTCTGGTTTCATCATCCGTTTTCTCCTAGTGACCTAATATGAAGTATTTTTTAATACACTTTTGATGTTAGACCATGCAGGTGAAGAGAATTTGAACTGTTAGTGAAGTCGAGATTTTTGTTGGCTATTCATATTATGTTAGGTAAACTGGAAAATCTATGGGGTCGGTGTTTGTCAAGAGCGTTGACACCAATTACCCGATGGATCGGGAATTGGAATAATATAACCCAATTTATGTCATGACAAGACCGAGGGATCACATGAAATTTGCATCATTCAAAAAACGATTTTTATCAATGGTATACGAGAGCTTATTGCTGTTTGGTGTACTGATGTTTTTTGGCTTTATTTTTGCTGTACTGACCCAGCAAGACCACGCCTTAAAATTTCATTGGCAGTCACAAGGATATTTATTTATAGTTTTAGGGCTTTATTTTGTATGGTTTTGGCTACATGGCGGGCAAACCTTAGCCATGAAAACGTGGAAAATTCAACTGGTACAAAATACGGGGGCTGCCGTAACAGTGAAACAAGCTGTGTGCCGTTATTGTTTATCTTGGTTATGGGTCTTGCCTCCTTTGGCATTGTGCCACTATTACCCCATCCAAGGCACGAGTAAAGTATTTTTTTGTGTTTTGTTTTGGATGGCTTTGTTGTCCTTGCTCAGTCTTTTTTTACCCAACCGAGTTTTTTTAACGGATTATTTCTGTAAAACCGCCCTGATAGACCGCGCCTCTAATTCCCATTCTAGATAGCATGGGGTCACTGCATCTAGCCTTATTTGGGCATAGCCTTATTTTTGTAGGGTCTTATTGAAGGCATGGCCATACCAAGGCAGGTCTTTTTAAATGCTTAATAAAAATCCAATAGATTGGTTTTTTGATGGGTATAAACACATCAAGAACCTAACATCGCTTTCACCACTTGAGAAACCATGGTCATGTCGGTCTTGCCAGCGAGCTGGGTTTTGGCTGCTGCCATGACCTTGCCCATGTCAGCTGCCGAGCGGGCACCGAGCCGTTCAATCAGGGTTGCTACTTCTGCTTTCACCTCGTCTAATGAAAGCCTAGGCGGGAGATATTGTTCTAAAACCAAAAGCTCAGAGGCTTCTTGGTCGACTAAATCTTGTCGATTTGCTTTTGTAAAGGCTTCAATGGAGTCTTTGCGTTGTTTAATGAGTTTGTCCACAATGGCAACGATATGGCTGTCTTCTAGCACCATTCTTTCGTCTACTTCCTTTTGTTTCATCGCTGCCATCAACAGTCGAATGGTACCAAGTCGCTGCGCATCTTTAGCGCGCATCGCACTTTTCATGTCATCGGTAATTTTCTCTTTTAAGTTGCTCATCATATGTTGTGCTTTATTGAGGTTTTGTGCGATACATCACAGAGTTTGTGTTATTGGGTACCTGATCATTTTCCATTCATAGACTGAACAAAGCGCGCGGGGTTCACAGAATCAGGCTCAGCTTGCTTTGCTTGCCCCTCCTCAGTCGCCTGATCAGGTGCTTGTGAAATTTTAACAATAGAATCATTGGATTCAAAAACATAATTTCGCACAATTGGGGTGTTATAGACGATAACTAATGCAATGAGTTGGAGTACGAACAGGATCAGCACAACATAGAGCATGAGGTTTTCCCTAGCTAACGGTTTTCGCCTACTGCGTATCATATCCTTTAACTTTCCTTAATAAACAATTATTCGAGTTTAAAATATTCCAAAAATATTCCATGTACGGCTTTTTGCCGTTCCCCCGTTATGTTTTTTCATCGCCTTTTACTGGTACTCCCGATTGAGAGTAATAACATTTTTGGGAGTATGGGTATAACGACATAGTCGGGGTAGCCATTGTTAGGGCAATATTTTACACCAGTTAGCTTTCTAAGCAAGGGCTTATACCCATTTTCCATCAAAGTGCACCACAAAATGGCGACGAAGACATTACTGTAGTATGGCTAGGCACCATAACAAAGTAGCGCATTGATGGAGAATGGGTATTACCATGGCTTACAGACAAACGCCTCAATCATTTTTGTTGTTAAGCGGTCACAATGGGAGCCCATAAGGAATAACAAAATTCAATTAAATGGATGGATTAGGCGATTTTTATTTGATTGGACTCCTTTCATGGCTGAGCAAAAACCCGATTTTCCGTTATAATGATAGCGATTTCATTGTTCTCTATCGTACGCGTTTGTCACGGTTCATGGTTTGGCGGAATATATCACTCATGTCACCCATGTCAACCTTTCGAGCCACTTTTGTGAGACCAATGGCTAAATTCTCAAAATGATCTTGTTGATGATATTATATTATGCCGATATATCCCTACGCCTGTGCAAGTTGTGGTCACCAAGTTGATATTTTGCAAAAAATATCAGATCAAGCACTGACACAATGTCCAGATTGTGGGTCTGCCGATTTTCAAAAACAAATCGCAGCCCCAAATTTTGCCCTTAAGGGGCAAGGTTGGTATGCAACAGATTTTAAAGGTACTACAAAACAGAAAACCCCAGAGAGCCATGGGGCGGAAACAACAGCCGCTGCCAGTAGTGCTCCTGCAACTGAGCCAAAATCTGCACACACCTGCGGGGGACAGTGCGCTCATTAATTTATTCGAACCGGTAGCCATAGGCAGATTCTATGCCCCCTCATTCCACGCCACCACTGCCCGAGAAGGAAGCCCATGTGCGGCGGTCTTTGACTGGGCGGCTGGTCGGCTTAATCAAAACCTATTTTTTAACGGGTTTTGCCGTGATGATTCCCCTAGTGGTCACCCTTTGGATGGTGCGGGGTTTGGTCAATACGCTTGATGGGCTCATGGCTTATTTGCCGCTTCCTTGGCAACCCCAAAGTTGGCTGGGCTACGATATCCCAGGATTTGGTTTGTTGGCAACGGCCGTGCTGATTTTTTCCGTGGGTATTCTGGCGCACAACTTCATTGGCCAGCGGCTTGTTCACTTGTGGGAACGCTTAATGAGTCATATCCCGATTGTCGGTTCAATCTATGGTGGTGTCAAACAAATTGCCGATACTTTATTTAGTCATAATAGCCACGCTTTTAGGCAGGTGGTTTTAGTGCCCTTTCCTTCCGAGGGCACTTTAACGCTTGCCTTTTTAACAGGAACACCCAGAGCAGAAATTTTTCACCGCCAAGCGTCAGCCAATATTGTCGATGAAGCCATGATTAGTGTTTACGTGCCCACCACCCCTAATCCGACATCGGGCTATTTTGTGATGTATCCCGCTAGTAAAGTGATACCGGTGGATATGAAAGTGGACGAAGCCTTAAAATATATCATGTCGATGGGGACCGTGGCCCCTGCTCTAACCACAGACCAGCCATTGGCTTTGCCAGCAAAACAACGACGGAAAGCCCGTCCCTCTTCCAAACAAATTTCCTAACCAAAAGAGAATCTTATGCGTAGCATGTATAGCGGTCATGTTGATGAAACATATATCAATCAAAGTGTCACCCTCGTCGGCTGGGTTAACGGACGCCGTGATCATGGCGGTGTGATTTTTATCGACCTACGGGATCGAGAAGGTCTAGTTCAAGTCGTTTTTGACGCCAATCGCCCTGGGGTTGCAACTCCCGTTGCGGCATTTGAGCAAGCGGAAACCCTGAGAAATGAATATTGTGTTCAAGTGGTGGGCATTGTTTGTGCGCGTGATGAGGGCAATATTAACCCTAAATTACGCACGGGTAAAATTGAAATCATTGCACAAAACCTAAACATCCTAAATGAGTCCACTACCCCGCCCATTCAAATTAGCGACGAAAACCTATCTGAAACAACCCGCTTAACCCATCGGGTTTTAGATTTACGTCGCCCGCAAATGCAGCATAATTTGATGTTGCGCTATCGAGTGACCATGACGGTACGCCAATTTTTGGATGCGAATGGCTTTATTGATATCGAAACGCCGATGCTGACCAAAAGCACCCCCGAAGGGGCGCGGGACTATTTGGTGCCCTCACGGGTACATGCAGGACATTTTTTTGCGTTACCCCAATCTCCTCAATTATTCAAACAGTTGTTGATGGTGGCGGGTTTTGATCGTTATTACCAAATTACGAAATGTTTCCGTGATGAAGACTTGCGGGCAGATCGACAACCCGAGTTTACCCAAATTGACTGTGAAACCTCTTTTATGACCGAACAACAAATTCGGGACTTGTTTGAAGGGATGATGCGCAAAGTATTTAATGAAGCCATTGGCGTGACACTGGCCGATCCTTTCCCCATAATGACGTTTGCAGAAGCGATGGCGCGTTTTGGTTCGGATAAACCGGATTTACGTGTGAATTTAGAGTTTACCGAACTCACGGACTTGATGAAGGATGTTGAATTTAAGGTATTTTCTTCTGCCTCTAACATGGACGGCGGGCGTGTTGTGGCTTTAAGAGTGCCCCATGGTGGGCAAATGCCGCGTAGCGAAATTGATAGTTACACCGAGTTTGTGAGTATCTATGGCGCGAAAGGTTTGGCGTGGATCAAAGTCAATGAAAAAGCGCAAGGTCGTAATGGTCTGCAAAGCCCCATTGTTAAAAATATCTCCGATGACATTTTGACTGAGTTACTTGCTCGGTCAGGGGCTGAAGATGGTGACATTATTTTCTTTGGTGCGGATAAAGCCAAAGTCGTTAACGATGCCATGGGGGCATTGCGCCTTAAAATCGGTCACAGTGAGTTTGCCAAAGCCAATGGGTTATTTGTGGATGACTGGAAGCCGCTGTGGGTCATTGACTTCCCGATGTTTGAATTTGATGAAGAAAACGGTCGATGGGCTTCCATGCACCATCCTTTTACCAGCCCTAAAGATGAGCATTTAGCCTACTTGGAAGCCGATCCGGGTCGTTGTCTTGCGAAAGCTTATGACATGGTTCTTAATGGCTGGGAATTAGGTGGTGGATCGGTGCGGATCCACCGTGTGGATGTACAAAAACAAGTCTTTACCGCACTTAAAATAGCCCCAGAGGAAGCGCAGTCGAAATTTGGTTTCTTGCTCGATGCGCTGCAATATGGCGCACCACCGCATGGCGGTTTGGCATTTGGTTTAGATCGTATTGTGGCGATGATGAGTAAGGCTGAATCGATTCGTGATGTGATCGCTTTCCCTAAAACGCAGCGTGCGCAATGTTTGTTAACCCAAGCCCCGAGTTTAGTCGATGAGAAACAACTCAAAGAGCTGCATATTCGTCTGCGCCAAACCGATAAATCTTGATAAGATTGGGGTCCCCCTGTGCTTCTTTCAAGATGCGACGCAAAATGGCAAAAAAGAGGTTATTTGAATTCCCAGTGAATCGGGTAATTTGTCACGCCTCCTAGCCTTACTATAGTCCTGTCTTCGTCGTCGTTTCGCTGATACAATAGATCGGAAAATGGAATATGATCTTTGTCGCCGTTTAGTGTATACGATTGATAATAAAGGAATTTTTTATAGGGCCAAGTCATTAAGGTAGCGTTTTGAAAGAGAATGGAGGCTTGCTCCATGTTTTTACACCATCATTTTTCAATATATTTTTGTCGTGTGCGGCAATTAAGATGACAGATTACATGGAATATCCCATCATTTGGCACAATCACCGCGAACCATCTCAAGACGCATTTAAACTCACGACGTTGCCACCGTTGTCGTTGTATATTCATTTACCTTGGTGCGTAGAAAAATGTCCCTATTGTGATTTTAACTCATACGCCACACCCAACGGGGCATATGAGATTCCCATTGACATCGAAAACAAATATATTCAAGCCCTTATTTTTGAAGCGGAGCAAATACTACCGCAGGTATGGGGACGTCCAATACGGACGATTTTTTTGGGGGGCGGTACGCCGAGCTTGTTTCGTGCCGCTAGTATCGACTATTTACTTTCCGAGCTGCGTGCCCGATTTCACTGTGTGCCCGACCTAGAAATTACGATGGAAGCGAATCCAGGTACTTTTGAAGTTCACCGCTTTAAGCAGTTTAAACAAGCAGGAATCAATCGGTTATCCATAGGAATACAAAGTTTTAACTCTGAGCAGCTGCGGTCTTTGGGAAGAATTCACAACGCAGCTCAGTCTAGGCTGGCCTGCGAAAAGGCCCTAGAGATATTTGATCACATCAATCTGGATTTGATGTATGGTTTACCCAATCAAAGTGCCACACAATGGCAGGCAGAGCTTATGCAAGCACTAACTTACCACGTGCCGCATTTATCATTATATCAATTGACTATTGAACCCCATACGGTTTTTGCACAAACGCAGCCCAACACGCCACCCGATGATGACATTGCCCAAATGATGGAAG